CAGAAGAGGGAACTGTTGAAGAACAGATATAAGGGGGGAGGGAGGTAAAGGACTGGCTAAATTAGAATAAAGTATAATGACTCGAATGCATGAAAATGCTATAATGAAATGTATCATTTCATATGCTACCTTAAAACAAATGTTTTAATCTAAGACTTTAGTTTAAAAAGAGAATACACACACTTTTCATTTGCATCCTGTCTTTATAGTTGCTGGGACAGTAGAAACTCTTGGCTTCAGTTGTCATCCACTCTTTCCTATTCTAGGAATCATTCATTCCAGCCTCAAATTCAAAAGACACCAGAGAAAGTTCTTATTTTTATTATTATTTTAAAAGGCATGCAAAAGTGAAAGTAGTGAAATAAAAAAGAAATGGCCCTGATTCAGACAAAGAAAACCATCTTTATGAGGGAAAAATTCAAATGCTGGATCAAACATTTGTGTGTGTGTGTGTGTGTGTGTGTTTTACAGACAATTGAAACCAGGCAAACTTCATAGTAGGCAAAATTTTAACGAGTGATGTAGTGTCACTGGCATTTAAGAGGTCAAATACAAAGATCTTAACTTGTGCCTTCACTTAACTGTGGTAGGGTGGGCACACGCCTCCATACCCACACACATAACATCACCTATCTCTTCTGTATTGCAGTAACTCGGTTGGGAAACAGGAGCCATGAGGTTCTGAGAAATTTAGTATGCTCATCAAGTTCCATATCTCTATTTTTCTACTTCTTTCTCATTGAACCCATACTAGAAATGCTAATTTTATAGAAAAGGTAGTTGTTCTAAAGGTTAGAGGTGAAATTCATGCTTCTGGGTTAGACAGTGTCAAAGGCATTGCGGCTTTCTGCGACAGCATCTTTTTTTCTCCAGGTGTTTTAGCATAGCATAGAGCACAGAGCACCAGGAGGCAGGCAACTCTTCAGGGGCAGGTATTCTTTCCTGAAGAGGCCGGAACCAGAGCCTCACTTGAAGGAGGCCTTCACCACCCTACCCTTGATGGGCTGCGGAGGACGCCAGTTCCCCACTAGGGGCACCGGAGGCTCATTCTCAGCGCTGGCAAAGAGGCTACGCAGCTTGGCCATCTGTAAGGGGAAGCAGACTGTTAGAAACCACTGGCTTTCTAAGCTGGCCACGCAAACCACAGACCCAGTCCCCATGGCTAGGTCATAAGTTGGCAAATATCAGTTCATATCATAAACATTTTCTAACATTCAGGACGCCGTGCTCTCTGGATAACCACCTTTCCCACCCGCATTTCTCCTGAGTTGTAAACTGAGGGGTCAGCATGGGGTGTATCACTTTACATAGAAAGGGATGATGGTTTATTGAATGTCTGTAAATTAGAAGAACCTTGATAGGCTTCCATTGTGTGACCAACTCAAGTATTTATGAAATTACTTTAAAGGACGAGAAAAAAATTAAAACCAGGCGATATGTTAAAATGTTAGGCCAGGCGGTGGTAGTGCACACCTGTAATCGTAGCACTCAGGAGGCAGAGGCAGGTAGATCTCTGTGAGTTCAAAGCCAGCCACCAGGACAGGCACCAAAACTATACAGAAAAACCCTGTCTCGAAAAACAAACAAACAACAACAAAAGTTAACCACTTCCTTCCTTTTTTTTTCCTTAAAGGATCATAAAACAGGAAATTATCATAAACATATTATGCCTTGGCAGTCTAGATGGTTCAGTGTGTAAGGTGCTTATGACACGCCTGACAACCTTTAATGCCTAACCTGTGATTGCACTCACCTGGTCTGAGCTCACGGTCATGGGCTCCTTCAGCAGCAACCACACGATGCACTCTTCGCAGGGCGGCGTGGTGAAGGAGCCATGGTAAGTCCAGTAGTCCCGGCAAGCAGGAAACAGGCACGATGGGTCGAAGTGAGTGAAAGGAGCCTCCTTGCCCTAGAAGACCAGAGCACTCTAAGAGGACACGTGCACTCTGCGCCCCCTAGAGGCTTCTATTTGAATAGGTTTAGACCCTTCACTGGTAAACCTCAGATGAAAAGGATTTCACTTTATGTTCTGACTCGATTTGTTAGAGTCACTGCAGTATTTTATTCCTTGTTTTCATGGTCGGTGGGACTGTGATTCTGTCCTTTCTCACAGGGAATACTCAGACTTGGAAGTTGATTTGAAGACTTTCACTTCAGTACATTTCATGCTTAGACTATCTAATTCTTCTAGTGTCCACACTTAAAAGCCACTACTTGAAATAATCTCAAAAACAGCTAAATGAGTCTGTCAGTTAGAAGAGTCTACTGTTAATATTAAGCTTATATAGGAGCTATCAGAAAACGACAATACCAAGATTAAAGAATGACAGTGGGGGCCATAGGGAACCTCAGTGATCCTGTGCCCACCATGGAGGGGAGAAGGAGACCCCGGAACATCTCACTCACCTTCTTGTGGAAAGTCCTTATCTCACAGCTGACCAACAAATGAAATAACAGATGTGAAAGTGCTCTAAGGGCTCAGCACTAAAGAAATATGAGGATATTTACTTTTGTATGCAAACATACGGCATCCATCAGACAGTGGCAGGTTTTCCCAGAAATTTGAAGACAATTGATGTGTTCTGACTCAAGTTTACCATCCTTAAATGATTATCTCTTACCTTGGTCTTAATTTTGTCCAGGGCATCAAGGAAAATCTGAAACTCTCCTTTCTCTCGTCCGATCTGTAAGGAAATAGACATCCAATAAGCTATTTTTCCCTTCTTCATAATTGGAGATCATCATAAAAGCTGATTTGACCCATCCACTTGCTATTGGTGTTTTATAAGTCTTCCACAGTCTCTGGTTAAGCCAAATGTAAGTTTATTCATCCTAAAAGATGGCAGAATATATGTTTTCTAATCTAAATTTGGATTTCAGTTCTCTGAAGTTCAAAACCACAAAATTACATGTTGGTTTCAACTCTATTTCCTTGGCCCTCTTTGCAAAGAAATTCCATTTTTTTTAGAAGAGCCAAAGCAAAAGTAGATGATGCTTCCACAACTGAGCTACTGCCTTTCCCTCACAGTCCTCTCAGTGGATTCAGAACATAGAACAAACCAGGTCATTCACTGGCTTAAAACTCAGATTGGGTTACCATGAAGTTCATGTGTTAATGTCACTAAGTCCTCTTTAAACCAAGGTTGGCTGAACAACACACACATTCCTTGTGCCATTCTAGCCTGAGATCCTGTGGGTGGAGCCCCCTTGAGCTGACGGCAGGTCCAAGCAGTCACTTGGCATCACAGAAGTTTCCAGCACTGGCTTTCCGGTTTCCAGTGTGATCGCAATAGAGCAGTGTGAAAAGAATATGAACACATGTCAGACTCACACACCCTCGTCCTTGTCTTTCCCTTCATAAGCCCTGAGCCTCTACTCTCACACATGTTTCAAATATAAGGAAAAGATGGAATGCATGGTCTCTAAATATTAGTAATGGATTACATTCTGAATGAGAAAAACATACCATCAATGTCTACCTCACCTTCAGAAAAATTCCAACAACAGCAATTCCATCGGGTTGCTTTAAAGCTTCTCCAAAGGTATTGTACTTTGGGTTCCAGTGAACCAGGTGAAGCTGCAACCACCAAACACAGGTTGTGAGAAAAATCCTTGGGATACAGAAATGAACATTATTATCCACAAGAGACTCAAATGTGTGCATCCTTCAGGTTGTTGCTGAACACTCTCATGGAAGTTGATGAAATTCTAATTATTAATAAGCAAAGCTTCAGTGAAATTTTAATAGTTCAAATAAAAAGTGTTTGAAATCTGCCTCATCATCGACAGAACTCTGGTGTCGGCAGCAAGCTTATCTTACTTTAGGACATGAGCACAGCCTAAGTAATCGAGTTGTTCATATTGAGTTACTTAAAATGGCAAGAGAATAGTTTATAGTTGTTAAATATTTTTATTCAATTTCAAAAATGTGAGATAATCCATGTACAAACATCACACTCAAAGTCTTTTTCACATCTGGAAAAAAAATTAGCCTGAGCTTTCTCCAACGGTGAAGGAAATGTCTATTTAGGAAGACAATCCTGATAATTTATTGGTCTCTACCTCATTGGCTGTATAGAAATGGCTGTGGCACCCTAAATGTGTTGTATCTCATCTAATTTGGAAGCCAACCAGGCAAGGCCTGGGTAGTATTTGGAGTTTCATCAAGTTTTATTTAACCAACAGTTAAGTACTCAGTGATGCCCAAAAATGGATCAGCTGCAAGTGTGCTGCCATGGTCACATTTCCATCCAATCCCACTCCTCACCAACATCTGCTTTGGAAAAGAGTAAAGCAGAAAAAAAATGAATTTTGCTCACTTCTAATGCAATACAGACTCGATTTTCTAATGAAAATGGGAGGTAGCCTGTCTTATTCCATCTGAAAATTCCTGCCTTAAACAAGATGCATATACATACAAGCAGAAAGCAAGGAATTCTTGTAATTACTAAGTGTTGTTTTTGAACCATTATATGTACTCATAAAAGAGGTACCTGAGCCAGTCTGTACAAAGAAGACCAAGCCCACCCTGCCTCTATTATGTAACCTTATGTTGCTTATCTGTAACCTCTTACCGGTTGTTGTGGTGGGGATCAAATCAGCTAAGACACACATTAGTTTCACACACATTAGCTGCCTTGCTGGTCCTGGTTCCTTTCAAGATTATGCCCCTTTTTTTTTTTCAGTCTAATCTGGAGAATCTTCATTAAGAATACTGAGCCACTTCTCTCTGTCCTAGTTTATTTGGGGGCTTCACTTTGTGAGGGGCTTCACTTTGTAAGTGAGCAACTTGAAGCAGAATGGGTTATGCAGTTGTTTCTAAGTTTCCAGTTTTGATCATTTGAGACCTAGAGTGGACTGGGTGGTTCCTCCTACCTCAGCAGCATACTTCACTCCATCCACTGTGTGCTCAGAGCCATGGTCATCCGAGGAGCCCCAGTGAAGATGGAACTGGCGAAGTCGGTAGGGTCCAGAGAGAGGACCACCCCTCAGCACTGTAAGATAATAAGGTGATTGATGAGTCCCCCCCCCCCCCCCCGCAGAGCCTTATCTGAAACCAGCACTCTAGAGAAGACTCCATGGGTAAAAGGTGTCACCTCCTGGGAATATGGAGCCATCTGCAAGTGTTTGTCACTTAAAGTCCAAATATATCAAAGGAAGAATTTTCCTTTCTCTCTTATTTTTGCTTGTTTTTCTTGTCTTTTCAACACTTTAGGAAACAAATTAAAGTAGCAGATGTACTATAGAACCCTGAGGACAGGTTAGTAGTTCAGAGAAGAGCTAGGTATTTGACAGGATTTAGATACCATTTCTGAGTCCACCCACATCATTGTGTCATCTCAGGCAAGATGCTCAACTTCTCTGAACTGGTCTTTGAATCTCTAAGAAGGTGTTAATAATTCCACACTTTGTGAGCTGCTGTGAGGATTAACTGAGATCAAGCACTTAAATGGTGCTCATCTCACAGTGCCCTGCAAGGGATCATTGAGCAGGTGGGGACTCTTCCGTAATGTCCCAATTTCAGTTGTGTTTTACTTTAGATGACAAATGAGACCTCTCACACACATCTACCTTAGACTATGACTGCTCGAGTCGAATGAAACAAAATTTCAGCAGTTTCCCAGGAAGCTAGTCAGGGTGGGCTGATATATATGAAATATGATATATGACTGATATGTATGAAATATGATATATGACTGATATGTATGAAATATGATATATGACTGATATGTATGAAATATGACATATGGTATATATTAAATATAAGATATGATAATTCTTGGGCATTAGTATGGGCTTTTACAACACTTACCTAAATCTCTCATGCAATTTGATCTCTAGTCATGCTGTTTGGAGAATTAATTTAAATAATTTAAAAGTTCAAATATCTTCTAAAAGATACTGAAAACTGTACAGAAACCCCAAAGTCAAGATCTACCAATGTTAAGTTAGATGCAAATAGCATTGTAACAGCAGCTATTTTAGAAAGGTTTGGTTTCTTGCAGTGAGACAGGAAACCCACAATGCAGACCTAGAGCAATAATTCTAGGCTTGAACCAGCTTGATCAAATGGAAAGCAGGTGCTTTGGTTTGTTTGTAGTCCAATCATTGAGAATAACTATGATTAGGATATGAGTATAACTTATTGGACTAAACTATATTAAATCTCTAATACTCATTGTTTTATTTTTTAATGGTGTTTTATGTGATTCTGCTTGTAGTTTTTAATTTTATTGTTTTTTCCTCCAAATGAAACCTCGGCTTTTAAGGCAAAGGAAAGAGCAGCCTGAAATAATTGCTCAAGAAACGATAAGCTTCTGTCCTCTTCCTTACCTGGAAGGTAAGAATGGCCACTCTAACATTGTTTCTTATGACATCACCAGGATGTTTATTCATTTTAGCTCATGAAGAACATGGGTCTAGGAAATTGCATTCTTGATAACTAAAGAATAATTCTTATTTAGACTTGTTTGCAAGGAAATAAAGCTTGCTTAATTGAAGCAAATTTTTACTCTTTAGCTCTGGTTGGCCCTGAGCTCATTAGAAAGACCAGGTTAGCCTTGTATTTGTGGCAGTCCTTTTGTATCTGTCTCTTGGGTGTTGGATTTAAAGGTGAGAGCCACCAAGCCTGTCTGAAATAAAGTCAAATTAGTCTTATTTATTTCACAGATTGGATACTAGTGTAGAGTGTAAAAAACATATCATTACTCCAGTTTTACACTAACCCAAGAAGAAGTGGGCATATACATCAGAAACACTCAACACAAAGATTCTTTGATTGGACCCCAGTGAGGTACTGAACCCAGGTCACCTGAACTCACACAATATTTTTTTTCCAGTGATTGGCCTTTTTCCAGTGACTCAGGAAGGAGAAGAATCAATTGATTTCCTTCTGTTTGAGGGAGCCTGTTCTCCATACCATCAAGAAACATAAAAACTTCAACTTTCAATAGTCAGAAGAAAGTCCAAGTGGACTCCCTGCCCAACCATAATCTGTCTTAGGAGTGTGTTATAAACGTTTAACTTTGGTATATGGCCATCTCGAAAGTAGTTGGAGGGTATGATATTCTTCTTCATTCCATAAATATAATTCTTTACAGCTAGAGCCAAGCTGAATATCATCTCCATTTCTGGGATGAACTTCTCCCTCTTCCCAGTAATTCTGTCACTGTGTCACAAACTGCATTTTTACAATAGAACCAAAAACACCCACATGACCCTTCCTAAGTGCTGTACTTACTGGACCTGTCATAAGTATCATCAAACACAACTCTGCAGGTCTTTCCGTTATTCAGGATGGTCTTTGCAGAGCCGGGATCATAAGATGCTGACCAGGGCTGCAGAGAGGGGTCATGCTTGATGTCTTTTGTATGCAACTCAATGGGTGACTGGTTGTCCCCTTTGGCAATTGGATAAAGTTCATGCCAGTGCTCAGGTCCTAGGAAGTAAAAAGAAGAGAGTATGTTTATTTAGTACAACCCAAGGCCTCTTCCCAGTGGACTAAGCCGGAAAACTATGCATAGGCCAGAGAGCAGTCTTGGCTTCATATTAAGAGGTTTTGGGTTCAGATTAAGCAACACAGCACTTTGCATTCCAAACTTATTTAGAACCTTGCTTATCTATGCTCAAAGAGTATTTCAGTCTTTGCAGTCCCTCCCCTGGCTTGGGAATCATGTAGCCTGAAAGCTAATCTTTGAAATGAATCACATATTGATCACATTTTTGTATTACTTTGGAGCTTTCAAGGGACACTTTTCTTCTCTTGCCCACGGCTAAGAGATGACTAAAAATCAAAACAATGATTGTTACTGGGGCCCCAAGCTCAAAGAAAGCAAGTGCTCACTGCTCAGTTTCACGGAGTAATGTTCAATAGGACCTGACTTTGGGTTGAGTGACTTCTCAGATTCATCACTGAACTTTAGACTAGTTACAGTGTGTCTCTGAGCTTCAGGTTCCTCCGTGGAAAGGAAAACAGTGAATCATGTTCAAAGAACCAGTAGCATGGGACACCTGAAAGTTCTCAGTAAATGCTACTTCCTAACTACCCCTACACCCACGTTTTCCAGCACACCTGTGAAATGCCAAGGGCAACTCTGTAATGCCCTGACTCCACTCACCATTGTGACTGGCGTAGCCCCACTCCTTAGCCATGGTCACCTTCTTGGTTCTCCAAGCTGGACAGCTCTTTCCTTTTCTTGCTCCAGGTGTCCTGCAAAGTCCCTACAAGTCCCGACTTTTATATAAGTCTCTTGCAGTGTGCATGGCCTTATTAGGTCAGCGGGGTGAGGCAGGGGACTAAACTGGATTGGGGTGGTATTTTGAAGGCGGGGCGGGGAAAGCCAATGAATTACAAGAGCTGGACAGCTGTCTGGGAGAGAGGGTGACAGGAGGAGGCAGGAGGGGAACGAAAGGCCCCTCTTTGGCTCTCACACGAGCCAAGCGTGGCTCCTTCCCGGCTCTCTTTGCAGGTTTCCAAGCGGCAGGGCTTTCTAAGAGCTCCGGGTTTGATCCTAGGGGTTCCCTCTTGGGGGTCTGGGCAGGCGCGGCACTGGATACAGTCCTGTCTGCTTAGTCAGCAACTAAAAACTGCTCTAGCAGCCTCACTCAGAAGACTGCTTTTCTCTCGGACTGGAGTACCACCGGCTGTGATCTTCTGAACGCTAAAGTTCCTTTTCCTGAAAGAATCCCCCGACGGTGACGGGGAAAGAACTCCTCTGATCCTCTGACTCAATCATGTTTCCCTTGTGAAAACGTGTAAAATCCTGGGAACACAGATGAGGAGGAACCCGGGACTACACGCTGCCCAGTCCCGTTATTCTTCAAGAGATGAGTTTCTGAGGCCGACTGTGCCAGGCTTCACATTCAGCCTAGCGGGTGTATTTGTCCAGTAGAACTCGGAGCACAGCGCCGGATCCTGGGCGGAGCAAGAACTCTGCACTCCAGCCTCACCCTGCAGCTGCCTGGGACTGAGTCAGTCACACTGGGAACTGGGCTCCATTGGTCTCCGGACGCCAAGGAGACCATAAAATGAATATGTTACCTAAAAATTTCACTCTCCAAAGCATAATCACAGACTAGGCCCAAACGAGGAAAGCATCTACGGAGTTGGTTTGGGGGGAGGGGCCGTTTCTTTCCTCTCAGTTCTAATGTGTTTCGTAATACAATACCCACATAAAAGAAGAGTAAAACTGGAGTATCCCATGTGTGCTTGTCAAAGGTATAATTAGAAATATCTGGTTACGTCTCACACTAAATTGGTATGGCAGATGTGTGCAATTCTATGCATACATTATAAAATATTCTTGTTTGGACAAGGATATCTTTTTAAAAGACCAGAAAGAAAATAATTGAATGAGGTTTCTGTATACATTTTCTTATACCTTCTACTTTTTAAAATGGCTTTTCCCATTTTACTTTTCCTTGGGGGTTACAAAACCCGAGAAGGAAGTCTCTCATCATGGCAAAGACAGCTCATCGACTAGGCATGTGGAATGCCTGACCACACTCAGAACCTGGACGCCAGGGTAGTCAGTCTCCAGGGTATTTTTGTGACCAGGGATCACTTGATCCACACAATAGCACTGTGGAATCAGGAACCCTCAGTTAGTTTGGAAAATCCAAGCAAACACAGCTCTAAGCTAAGGGGCCACGTGTGTCTGGGTTTCTAGCTCATTGTGATAGGTTCTGCTGAGTTTGCAGTTACCAGAGGTGATTTAAAGTTACCAGCAAGTGGTTATGGGTGAATAAGCCAGAATCTCAATCCAGGCCATTAACTCTGACACTAGCTTTTCTCTGACCTGGGATAACTAAATCTCATAATTACCAATGTCATCTGTTACTGATTATTGAGTTAAGACATATGAGACATTCATTATGCTACCACTGTTCGTACCGGAGATAACTTTTTAACTGCTTCATTTACAATTTAATAATGTACACAGTGAGGAATATAAAAAAGCACTAAGTAGAAAAATGAAATATCTAAGAGATTTAGATACAATAATTTTGAAAGCAGTACTTGGGATTTTTACTTTCTTGTAAAAATTTAGTGAAAAGTATAATTTAGCATAATGTAAACATAATTGTGTAACTCTAAGCCAGAAGTGGTGGCTTACATCCTTACTACCAGCACCAGGAGTCAACAAGGTAGGCAGATCTCTGTTAGTGTGAGGCCAGTTTGGTCTACACAGTGAGTTCAAGGGTAGTTAAGGCTACATAATGAGACCCTTTCTCAATAAAGAAAGAAATAAGTAATTATGCCTCATCTGAATTCAAGTGCAAATGAAATTTTCAAACCTACCTGAAAGCTTATCATCTCCATCTAAATTGAGCTACTTCAACAAAACTGTCTGTCCACAAAGAAAAAGAGACTTTTAAATTGGGTCAAGGACTTTTAGGCCTTTGGAGTTGGCATGGAAAGGAACAATGCTAGGTATACATCAAAACTAGGAGAAAGATGAAATAGCTATTAATAATTGACTACAGACTGTGTCCTCCAGTTCTCCCAGCGGAATCCTAGGAAAGTTGATGCAGTGGACAATTTTCTGGACTTTCCTCCCAAAGCGAGTGTGTGTAAACAGAGAAAACGGTAGTAGGAAAGAAAGGAGAAAACTAGCCAAAGAGGTGTTTCTGGCAGAGTCAACTAGATAATATTCAACCAAATTTAAAATATTAGAAGTGAATTTAAAATACTAGAATTTAAAATATTAAAATTTAGATATATTTTTCCATGATTTAATCATTCTATTTGGCAAAGATAACTTGTAAAGCTATTAACTCAAATATTCCACAAATAGATATCATTTGGCGTTTGCATTACACTACTAAAAAATAAGCCATCAATTAGGATCTGAAGTAATTTAATAATTCAGCTTAAATATTATATTTAGGAATATGGATTTCCTACTATTTATTTTCATAAAATAAACTCTAGGACAGAAATGCAAAAAATTGGCAACAAAAAATTAAAAATTCAACAAAACTATCTGACTGTGATGGACACCCTGACTTTAGCCTTCCTCCTCAGCACTGTCAGCTAAAGATTGGCTAGTGTGTGCTATAGATAATGACAGGTTCAGTTCCCAAGTTTGCTAGCTGGGCCATTTGGATCATATCTTATATTTGGCCATTGTTCTTGGCAAGCTTGGAGGAGAGAGGCCTAAGTGCCTACCACAACTGAGATATGTCAGCCTGATCACTTTCCTTGAAAGTGGGAGCAGGAGGCCCCTTTTGAAGTCCTCCCAGATCTACCCAAAAAAATCTGTTTATCGAGGTCCATCAGTTCAAACTGTTTCTTTCAAACCTAAATCATTATTTTAAAATATAGTAATAGAATATTAAGAGGAGAAAGTGGTTGATAATGTGTTTTCTTAGACTCAAACATGGTTTATAATGTGTTTTCTTAGACTCAAACATGGACTTGTTTCTAATAATTTCCTGATGACGTTTGTTTATAGAATTTAACAAGTGGTGCTAACTTTTATGGGTTTTTATTGTTGTTTGTTTGTTTGTTGACTTAAGTGGTTGATTCTCTCTCTCTCTCTCTCTCTCTCTCTCTCTCTCTCTATATATATATATATATATATATATATGTCTTAGGTGCCTCCTATGGGAAATGAAGAAAATAATGTACACTTTACAAAGTTCTTGTGAAGCTTACAGGACAATATACAAGGCAGGTAACTAGCATAGCTTAAGATAGTAGAGTAAGCACTTAACGAAGTTATTGTCTTTCCTTTTTCACTACATAGAATATCTCTCTGGAATCTCATCTACCCTAAATAAACCCTGTCCCTTGTTGACCTTCCTTGTATGTTGCAAAGTGTAGGTGCTAACTCGCAGACATCATTTACATGAAAGACTTATTATGCGTGTATGAAATTTTAAAAAAATGATACTCACAGTATCTCCTACAAACTGTCATGTTTACTTGGAGTAATCATACTTTGACCCTTTTCCACACAGGGATCATAGAAAATGATCTATAATCTACCCAAAACCAATTATGCACAAAATGCATTAATCAAATAGAACTCAGTGAAGCTCGCAGCCCTTCAATAATATCTAAAAATCATCCCACAAGGCTGAAAAGTTATGATACTTTATGACCATGGTTTTTGTTCACATTAATGGAATGTCAGGTGTTTTCAGAAGCTCAGTGCACATGTTCTTCACCCATCCTTTACTGCATCAATAGAGTCTACTTTGGTCTTCCCCTAAGTTTTTTATTCTTTCTTGCTGGTGACTTTTTTTTCCCACACTTTCCTTTAGTATAGCTTGCTCTTCTCTGTCCTGCAGCTTAAAACTGTTTCTATTACTGTGTCATGTGCATAAAAATGCCGTGTTCTTGTCATCTAGAAGATCAGTGATGTACTACATATCTCTTCTTTTGTTTCCAATTGCCAGTCTAATTCCAGGCAAAGCCACTTGTTGGAGTTGAAACAACCAATGTTTGGAGAAAAGAAAGAAGACTGTATCAACTCTCATGTACTTTGCTTTCCTGGGAAGAAAAATACAGCAACATCATTTCTATAGGAGCTAGAAGTTTCCTATGTAACCTTCACATCTTAAAGCATTGCGAACATCTCAAAATAACGTGGATGCTTCTCTGGGTTCCCAACAGCAAACAGAGTGATACATGTACATTTGAAAAGTAACATGCTGCACTAATTCTTGCTCTCATGTTATGAATTTAGTTGAACAAATAGTTAATGGAGAATAAAAAAGATTGGCTTTTAAATTGTAAATGCCATTTTGCAAGACACACCTATGTTGACCCCAAATCTATAAAGCTGGCCTTCTAGAAGTTTACAAACAGGCTGTTCCAAAGACTTGGCTCTGGAAGGGTTCTTGAGGGGGCAGAATCTGGGTAATGAAGGACACATGGCAAGGGTGAACAGCACACACAGAATATTTGTTTGGATGGGTGCCAGACTCACCACAGACAGTCATCCTCCAGAGGATGTCCTATGAAGCTTGATCCACTCTCAAGAGGTAGCATTAGTCCATACATAAGCATAGAGCCCCAGGACGAAATGAACTTCTCCTACGCCATACTTCTTAAAAGTTATAGCACATATCACCACTACACTAGGGATCAAACTGTAACAAAATATAGCAGCATCTTAAAGATATGAGAACACTGGAGACTGTATTTCTTCAACTTCCATATAATAGGGTACAAAATCATCATTATTGATCATTCTAAAATGCCATTATTCATGGCTTTCTAAAATTCAATAACATGATTCTTTCAATTCAGATAATGCATTATATCACTATTTTGTCCTATTTATTCCTAATAAATAATTAAATTTAAAGTCTATTCTTAAATGTTTTAAATGTTGAGTATCAATGTGAAAAAAAATAATATTGTAAGAGTAAAATAGCTTCTATAGAAAATGTTATGCATATATCTCCATTTCTTCCTTATTCATTTTAATATAAAGCATTATTTTGTGCTCCAAAGAAAAGAAAATAATTTCAAAAAACAACAACCCAATGCTTTAAAAATACTGTCAATTAGTTGGACAGCAATAGTGCACACCTTTAATCCAACTACTCGGGAAAGCAGAGGTTGGTGGATATGTTTCAGGCCAGTCTGGTCTACAAGTTTCAAGACAGCCAGGGTTGTTAAACCCTGGATTCAAAAACCACTAAAAAATAAATAAATAATACAATCAATCACAAATTAGTCATCCCTGTAAGACAGTGCCTGTAAGACAAAGGTATGATTAATGATAATCTATTAACTTAAGAAAAGTTACTTGTACTTTTTAATTTTTTTCACATAAAAATATATGTTTTGTTGAAAAAAACATGCGTTTTTTTCCTCAGAAATATCTATGATTATTGTTTTGTTTTCTTCTGCATAGTTCATTCCTAGGACCTATAATGTTGTGGTAAATTAATTGCTATGATGCAATTTAGCATGGCTATAAATTGTAGGCAGTTAAAATCTTAGTTGTATATTAGTATATGATTTGGTATTTGATAATTAAATAACTAATATAAAATCTCTAAATTAATTTCCTCAAGCCATAGACTTATTCATTAAAAACTACAACTGTAAGAAAAATGCAACTGTGGAGCCTAATGAGGTTAGGCTATGTAGTCACCAAGGTAACTATAGCATAAACTTAAATGTACAGGACACATTACTGGGGCCAAGCAGGTCTACTATAAGAGTAAACAGCCTCGCTGACCTTTAACTCTTCAGCTTTTCTTAGTTGTCCAGTTCACTATGTCCCAATGATACAGTATCATCTTCTTGTGGGTTTTTTTGTTTGTTTTGTGTTTTCATGTATCAGAAGTATCTGGTAAATTATGAGGACTTTGAGAAATTTAAAGTTGACAATAATTAATTTTTATATCAATGTATTTCAACCTTGAAATACAATATCAGTTGACAATACAGAAGCTGGTTTTTATATTTTTATAATGTTAACTTACTGGGACGTTCCACTGATAAAGGAGCAGAACCGAGTGCGAAGCTCTTTTGTGGCATGCAAAAGTGAACTTCAGTCCTTGAGAGAGCAGGCCCAGTGAAACGCAGGGAAAAAGAACTCACTATGTCACATTCCATAGAATAGAGCACCTAATTACCGTCATGCAATAGATATAAATGTCAACAAATGGGGCAGTGGGACACCATGTCTGTAGTGCAGAGCTATGACAGTATCAATCAGACAAATAGAACCTGTGGCATACAGTGTGTGGATTCGGGGGGGAGGATTGTAAAGACTGGAGTGTTCTATGCTGGCTAGAAGCAGTTCTGCTCTGATACCTCCCCCACTAAACTCTGAGGACCTGTTGATATTAATCTTTAGGACAGTTCATCCAGCTCGACTTTATCAGACCTTCAGTCCTGAAGACTGGTAATTCTGATCAAATCAAATTTTGTTTAGCCTTATATTCATAATCATTTATTATTGATCTTAAAGACATGATCTTTTCAGAAAGTGCCAGATACAAAAATCAAACAATTCACAAAGAAATTTGCAATGAGACAAGCAAAATGAACCTGGCTGGCCCTGTGAGCAGAAGTTCATATAAGATTCCTTTCTCACAGCCAAACTGATGCACAAGTCGCTTCCAAGATAAACAGGGTTACACTCCGTGTTCGACAGCATTGTATTTAGACTCTCAATCCTTTCCTGGGGTACTCTTTCTTTCAAACAAGGATGAGACATGAAGCTGAGAGGTACAGCTGGTCAAATCTTTCTTCTTTGGCTTATGTCAAAGTCTTCCCACCTTGATATTCGAAGGAGAGAATGAGTGATGGTCGTTGTTGATGAGGCCTCAGGACTCTGCAGCCAATAGCATTGCCTCCTCTGCCAGGGTGACGAGAGAAGGAAGTGGCCACTTGGTCACTTCTGCCAGGCACAAAAAAGAATGGGCATAATATCAGAACAGATTTTTTAAAACAAAAGCCCAGTAGTTCTGATTCAAGCGTAATTCCCATGGTTTCCCATTGTTGAAATGCTGCATTACTTAAGCCCTTGTGGATTTTTCAAGGTCTCTTATCAAAGGAAACAAAAGAATACTTCTCGCTGGTGGTGAAAAATTAAGAAAAGATCTGAAAATGAAATCATGTGATTGTACTAAAAACACAAAATGCAAAAACTGTTTTATAAATTTAATGTATTTTTACTAGAGTAGATATCTTTAATTTAGACTTTTCTGTAGACACAGATATCACAAATCTTATCATAAATCCATAATCTCCCTAAAATCACTCTTTTATCATAGAAAAAACCCTGTGACATAGGTGACTAACAGTGTACCTATTATTGCAGAAGATTATAGGATTACCTAGTCATATGTAATTTGATTAATTTCAAATGCAATGATATTTTAACAAAATCCAATATGCTCAAAAGATAAACTTGAAAAATACAACTGAAGAAATTATTTTCTCATGCATTCAACACGTATACTCATTGCCGTACGCATTGACCTCTGTCCTAAGCACCAGCAATTTGTCAAGGAACAAGAGGGAGGTTTTCTCCCTCAGTTTAGGACCAGTTTGTTCTGGTCCGTGTACTTACATAAACCAAGCAGACTGATAACTTGTGGTTTGTGAGTCATGTTAGAATAAAAGGCTAAGCTAGGGAATGATGTACTGGGTAGACCAGAAAGAACAGATCTCCTTTGAATACAGTTATGGGAGGAGGGCTTCCCAAAAAGTTAAATTCAAAGAACTAACCCTTGGAAAAGTATTAATCATTTGAAGAGTTCAAGGAAGGACATTGACAGTGGCAGGAACTCCAAGAATCTGATAGCTGGAGGGTGATGATTCAGAGAGAGGGTGGTGTAAGGCAAGCTTAGGGAGGATGCTGAGAACAGGCCATGGAGGCCCTGAAGTCACAGTGAATAGCTCACTTTGATGCAGTGGTGAGCTAGACAATGTAGCAGGGAGGAGAGACACAACCTGATTCACATCATCTGCTTCTTACTGTAGTTGAAGAAGGAAATGAATAAAGGTGGAGGCAGAAAAGCACATAACTTGCTTTACAAAGATTTCAGCAAAATATTTACTTTATATGACTAAGTTAGCAATTTCATAGATCATTAGGAAGGTTGATATGGTTACACAAAGAAGAAGAATAAAAAAAGCAAAACCCATTTCAAGATTTCAATATGGATAAGAGTAAAATAAGATAGTGGAAATGCTGAGAACTGTCTTGGTTCCCTCCATGTTGTGAGATGAGGAGTTGCTGTCAGACAGTTAACTGAGAAAGCAGAGAGTTCCCTTAGTCATCTTCTTATGACTTAAACTAAAATACATTTCTTAGATATAGATCAGAGCACAGAGTGATAAATGGTCACAAAGCCCCCCAGAGCCTGCCCAGCTAGTAACTTCAGCTGTAGCAAAGCGTGGAGAAGCTAGAATAAGTGTTTATTTGTTTGTGTGATTGGTTTCATTTGTGTATTTAATTGCTTATTTTAAAAATGGAATCAGGAAGACTTCAAAATCTTGCAATTAAGAAAAGTTTAAAAACAAAATTTAAAAAATTAAATTAAAAACAAATTAATTAAAAAATTAAAAACAGAATAACTATGTGATCCAGCCATCTGCTGAATATAAATCTGAATTAAATAAGATAATATTGCAAAGACATACTTGCACTCATATGCTCATTTCAGCATTGTTCAAAATAAGAATTACATAAATATCCTTTGTTAGAAAAATGGAAATTAAATAATGTGTATATATACATACGTATGAGCACACCAACACACACACACACACACACACACACACACACACACACACACGGACAGAGAGAGAGAGAGAGAAAGAGAGAGAGAGAGAGAGAGAGAGAGAGAGAGAGAGAGAGAAAACTGAAATATACAGCCTTTACAAAGGAAGAAAATCTTACCACCTGCAGCCACACTGAATAGATTCAGTTTATAACTGCAAAGCCAAATGAGCAAGACATAAAAACAGAGATACCATGTGATTACACTTATATGAGGAAGCCCCAATATTTAGCCAAAAGAAACAGATAGATGCTGAATGGAGGAGATATGAAATGATATTTGTTAAAGCAGCAAAAGAAGTAACTGTATAAGTGCGATGCTAATCATTATCTAGGAGGAGGGCACCTCATTTGAGAAAACGCTTCCATAAGACTGGCTTATAGGCATATCTGAGGTTTTTTTTTAAGTTAATGATTGATGTGGGAGGCCTCAACTGACTGGGGGCAATGTCATCCCTGGACAGGTGGCTTTGGGTTATATAAGAAAGCAGAATGAGCAAGCCACGACGGGGAAGCAAGTCAGCAAGCCACATTCTTCCTCAATCTCTGCTTCTGTTCCTGCCTGGCTTCCCTGAATGAGAAGCTGTGATTGGGATGTATAAATAAATTAAGCCCCCTTTATCTCAAATTACTTTTAATCAGAATGTTTTATCACAGAAATAGATAGCAAACCATGACAGTGTACAATATGCAAAGTTAAATCCTTGTAATATATACAGATGTTATATGTCAACTAGATTAAATAAATCATCATGAATTAGAAAACTTATAAAACAAGATAAAATATGTTAAAAATAGATTAAAGAATTGCATTTAAAATGCTGTAAATAATCTCTTAAAAGTGGATTATTGGGAGGGAGGAAGGATGGATATGAGATCAGGGAAGAATATATTTCAACTAAGGGAGTCATTTTAGGGTTTACAGGAGACTTGATTATAAATGGGATCCCAGGTCCAAGGAGAGATCCCCAGAAGAGAGGGTGCCTGAAACGGCCTGGCCCATAACCATACTGATGAATATTTTGCTTATCACCATAGAACCTTCATCTGGTGATGGATGGAGATAGAGACAGAGACCCACATCGGAACACTGGACTTAACTCGCTAGGTCCAAACGAGAAGCAGAAGGAAAGAGAACGTGAGCAAAGAAGGCAAGACCAGAGGGAACCTTCATCCGAGGATGGATGGCGATACAGACGGAGACCCACATTGGAGCACCGAACTGAGCCCCCCAAGGTCCAAATGAGGAGCAGAAGGAGGAAGAAAATGAAAAAGGAAATAAGGACTGCGAGGGATGCGATCACCCACTGATACAAGGGGACTGATCTAATGAGAGTTCACCAAGGCCAGTTGGACTGGGACTGAACGAGGACGCGATCCAATCAGATTCTCTGAATGTGGCCGGATTCTCTGAATGTGGCTGGCCAGGAGTCTTTCTGAAAAGCCATTGACAATGGCACTGGGACTTGTTTCCTCTGCATATACTGGATTTTGCGGATCCAGTCTGTCTGGACACTCACCTTCCTGGACCTGGAGGGAAGGGGGAGGAACTTGAACTTCCCACTGGGCAGGAAACCCTGACTGCTCTTAGGGATGGAGAGGGAGGAGGAGAGGGAGTGGGGAGAGTGGGAGGGAAACTTTTATAATTTAATAAAATTACTTTCAAAAAAACAAAAAACAAAAAACAAAACCAGCTCCTAGGGACAAAAAAGTGGATTATTCTGAATAGTCTTTCAAAACTAAAGATACTATTTTCCCTTTAATTTCTGAGTGGTGAGTGCTTCTTTTGTCCTCAGGATAAAGTTAACCTCTAGGACTGTTTATAACATGTATAATGAACTTAAAAGGACCTTTCTAAACAATTATGAACCATGTAAATGTTATCATGAGAATATGGATAAGCACAGTAGAGATTCCAGAAAGGCCAGACTTCTAAATATATATATATAAGACTATCACTATGTAGTAAAATGATAAGGGGTCCCATAACACACACACAAATAGGAAACTTTGCAGTGGTTTGGATAAGAATGCCGGCAAAGCTTATTTATTTGAATGCTTGGTCATTAGAGATGTGATATTTGGCAGGAATTAGGAGGTGTGGCCTTGGAGTAGATGTGGCCTTGTTTAAAGAAATGTGTCACTGGGAGCTGGCTTTGGAGGGTTTCAAAAGTTCACACCAGATCCCAGTGTCTTTATCTTCCTGCTGCCTGCAGATTCACAGGTAGAATTCTTAAGTTACTTCTCCATCACCCTGTTTGCCTGCATGCCACCAGGTTTCCTGTCATGGTGACAATGGACTAAACCTCTGAGACTGTAAGTAAACCCCAAATAAATGTTTTCCTTTATAAGAGTTATCATGGTCATAGTATCTCTTTACAATTAACATAACATTTAAAAGATAACACATGTAACATACTTGGAATTTAATAGACATCCAATAATTACTAGGTAAGAAAAATAGAAACATAAAGTAGATACAATTGCATTCTGGTTAACTAACTCCTAATTAAATGAAAGCTACATGGAGATAAATCCAGGCCTGGTTTTGTTCAGAACCACATACCCCATATGTTGTTTGATGTCAGATAATTATGTAGCATACAGTATAGCAATGAAGGGGTGCAGGAAGGCAAGGGCGGAGTGGGAGCCCAAGCTCCTCAAGCACAGATGAATGGACTGAGGAGCTGGCTTGGTCTCTCAAAATAGAAAAAAGGAGCTGCTCAGTACTAGACTTTGATGAAAGACTTAAATATGCTGAAAAGCTCTGGAGAGTATACAGTAGGGTCTCCAAAATTCCTCATGTATAGGTGAAGCATCAACTGCGTGTATAAAGTCAACCTTAGTGTCTAAATGCAACCTCCAGTGATCTTCTCTATTGCTGACATCACAGCACAAGTCCAGTTGTGCAGGTTATTGCAATGTACTCAGTGTGGCCGTAATTTCTCTCTGTGGCAGGAATTTTGCACTTTCTTAACTCATATAAAACGATTTCCCCCAACGCTCTCTGTGCTCAGGTTCTTTGTCAAGACTTAGCTTCAGCTTAAAAGTAACAAGCTCAGAATGGCCTTCACAATTTTCCCATCTAAATAGATGTGCCTGTATGATATTTATGATTTATTTTCTAATTCTTATTATAATTGTTTGTATTTATAGCATGCAGTGTGATAATTCAGTATGTGAATATGGCATAAAATCAACTTGCTGTACTTAAAGCTTTCATCTATTTCAATGTCTCAATTTTCACTAGCATGTAATAATTGTGCATATTTGTGAGTACAGTAATACATATTAATACATTTTTATAATATGCACTCCTAAATCATGGCAATCACTTCCTTGTTTCCATCATTATATTGTGATTAAAGTCTTAGAGCCTGCTTGCTCTAATCAATCATAAATATGCAGTATGTTGTTGTGAACGACAGCCAACACATTGTGCTTTATCGCAGTACAACTTATTCTGTAACTGTGTTATTAGTCAATATCCTTATTTCTACATTTCTCCCATATCTCCCTACTTCTAGTAATACTGGACGTTCAGATGGAGTTGTTAGAAAAAAACCTCACATATGTAGATTATGTAGAATCTATTTCCACCTGTTTTGGACAAATGACAGAAAGAAAACTATTCTTTCTATAGTTAAACAAAATTTCATTTGCATATACCACATATTTGCTATCTATTCACTGGCTGGTGTACTTTTTGGTTTATTATGTTGTCAGGTATTGTGATGACTGAGGCAAGACATATGGAAGGGATGCAGTTGGCTCTGCTATGAATATACTATTTCTTTTTGATATGGACCCAGAGATAGGATAGCTGGATAATATGTAGACCTACCTCTTGTTTCTTAAGAGCCTCATATGAATGCTCTTTCTTCCAGTTCTTAAGATCTAGAGTTATTGCATTTGTCCGCTTCCAAGAATGAATGAATGAATGAATTTATTTCTAGTTTCATGGTTCTAAAGTTCTTCTGCTAAAAATAAGGTCCAATAACCTTTCATGAAAAAAAAAATCCCTAAAGAAAATAGGACCAGAGGAAGCATACTTCAAAATATTAAAGTTTATGTGTGAGAAACCTATACCCAATGCTTTACTAAAAGGGAAGATTTCATAGTACTTCTGGTATAAGAGAAGAGAGCCCACACTTCCTCATTATAGTAATTTAAGTTGACATTTGAACTGTAAGACCAGAGGAGAAAATAAAATGAATAGAAATAAAAAATAAGGCAAAGATTCTTATTTGCAGATATTATGATCCTATAGAGACTCCTTAATGACTCCATCCTAAAGCTATTAGAAGTGATAAACTCTATCAGCAAAGTGGCAGTATGCAAAACATCACCCAAAAGTCAGTAGCTTTCCTACCTACTAGGAGCAAACACACTAAGGAAAAACTCAAAAAAATAATGCTATTGACAATAACTTAAAAATACCTTAGAACATATTTTATTAAGGCAGAGGAAGACCTCTCTATACTGAAAATTGTAGTGCAAAGAACACACTAGAAGATGAAAATATAACTGGACCAGAAAATACTCATGGACCAGAAAGAATCAATACTGTGAAAATGAAAATAGAAACCAAAACAGTATACTGGTTTAATGCAAGCCCCATCAAAATTCCAATAATGTTCTTTATAGAAACAGAAAACAAAATTCTGAAATTCAAATCACAATACACCCCACATAACCAAAGCAATTTTGAGTAAAAAGGACAATGCTACGTCAAAAAAACAGGTGTTCATAAGTGTACGAATTAATATCCGGGTCTTTGATTTGATTCCATTCGTCAACTTTTCTGTTTTTATGCCAGTATCAAACTGTTTTCATTACTGTAGCTCTATAATCGAGCTTGATTTCAGGGATTGTGATGCCTTTGGAAGTTACTTTATTGTACAGGATTGATTGGGCTATCCTGGATTTTTTGTTTTTCTATATGAAGTTGATTATTGTTCCTTCAAGGTCTGTGAAGAATTGTGTTGGGATTTTGATG